AGGTGGACAGACACCTAGCCCCACATCCTACTGCTATGCCCGTGCTTCTGTGGGTGAAGCACTAAAGCATCACGGAATCCCAGAGGACCTGCGAGTCGACGAGGTGGCCGCTTTGGCCGCCGGGTACTACAGCTCCCTGGAGTTGCCTGGGACCGATGGCAAAACAACAGCTCCGGCGGTGCCCCTATGGGCCGTAGTAATTAGTGAAATCCCGTAATGTAGAGATCATATCCTCAATGATCTCCAATGGTCATTTTATATTCCTAAACAATATGTCAGACCAATTATGCTTGCCTGCGTTCAGGCCCGGATTACCTCTGATGGTCATACGCCCAGTACAACATGTGTTGTCTGTCAAACAACAATCGACGACGGGATCCCTTCTCATCATCTCTTAAGCCATCGGTTGTCAATTCACCCACCCCGTTTCCCTAAAAATAGACGGTCAGATTCGGCCTGGGTCCTTACGACCCCTCTAAATTCGCCAGAGACGGGATCGGAATCGGATCGCCGTTATTGCACCCGTCTTAGTGTCTTAAATACTATGACAGCTTCGACCACGGACGTCGGACGGGGTGATCGTTCCACGAATGTACGCACCATCCAGGCCTAGGATGCATCGAGGTTTAAAAGGATGCAGTCTGTAGATCAATCAACAAACAATGGTGGTATGCAACCACTTTAAAATATCTCCCTGGCTCCCGCAACGTTCCAACGCCCCTCCGTTATGCATTCGCCCTGTGTGTCCGCCGAGCCGGCTTGCCTCCAATGACGTCATCGGCCGGCCGGCGGCGTTCAAGGTCAAACGGCTGGTGTCCTTACCTGGAGTTCTATAGCCTTGGGGCAGTCCTGTCCTGGCAGCCGCGTGATCCGGTCACGCGCTGCTTCCTCTCCCGGCACGAGTGATCCCGTCACTCGTCCCTGCCATCCTCGGGCTAAGCGGGTGGCAGATCGGGCGGCGCCCCGAGTGGGGTATGTATTTGTTTTGTTCAGCTATAATAGTTACTTATTCCGCATTACATTACCAATAAAGCATTCGCTCGGAATCTCTCTCTTTCCCGCCACTGGCGGAGAGCATAACAATAACTTTGGAAACTGCCACCAGCTACCTCGGGAACCAATACTCAATAGAGCTACAGCGCCGCGGAAAAGCGCATTCGATAGCCCTTTTACAGACCTTTCTGAATAATGTTCTCAGATCTGACATCAGGTCAACGGTTTAGCCTCCTGAGGGCAAAAACTAAAAAATAGCCGTTTTCCCGAACAATGTTTTTCGGCAATAGCTTTTGACTAAAGAGAGTCACGACGTTACTTTTGGCAGCATCGTGTTCCTCTCGTCAAGACACGTCGAATGAACTATTCGTTGACCTTGGAAGGTCATTTTTTTAACTTTGACCTTGGGTCAAGGTCATGACCTGACCGGTAAGCTTCATGCTGCATATCAGTCGATCCGTATGGTCGAGCTGAACACATCTGACGTGTTTTCACCGCTCTAGCACGTCTCTATCAAAAGTTAAGGCCACACAATTGTTGGTGACCGTTCATGACCTGAGATGACCTGAGGGGCATACAGAGGGGTCACAGGTGCAGTTTTCAGATTCAGTGTGTTATGTTTACGTATGAACCGATGTTTGAGAGCGTTTTGAACGACATTCGTCCAAAAGAGGCGCATTTCAATGTTCTCCCATTGACCTATGGTCACTTGACGTGACCTGGTGACCTGACCTTGAAGACCCGGGTCTGAGATTTTCACAGCATGTGCGGAAATGATGTATGAACAGGTGTACCAAAAACGGCGGCGCGCAGTGCCGCTGTTTTTAAGATATTCGTAAAAAACTGACGGGGGGCGTAAAAACGCCCCCACCAGCGCCGGTTACGCCATGATAAATGTATGGGCCCTTTTCACTGCGCAAGGGCCCTTTTCACCATGGGCTCCTTTCACTAGGATGGGCCCTTTTCACCCTAGTACCCCACAGTCAAAAATTCGTGGCGCCGCCCCTGACCAGAAGCTAAAGTTAGGATGGGTCAATGTTGTGCCTACTATCTTATGACTAGAAATGCAAGGATGCACGTAGACAGTTGAGTTAGACTGGCCACTGGGTAGTGTAACTTAGAGCAATTCAGAATTGACATTAAAGGGACTATCCCACCTTCTAAAAAGTACCGTTTAGGATTCGGAAATGTTACTCATGATATAGTGACGAATTCTGCAAGTTTTAACGCGTTTCCATCTTATACTTTTTGAGATATTACGACTTTTATATTTCATTGTGACGTCATTTAGATCGGATCTGTGACGTAATGAAGGATTTACTTCATGTCAATGTGAAGGGAAATTTGGCAGCAAATATATTTGCTCTCAAATATGACGCGGCTCAGACATTAGCAAAAAGGTCTCTGATTGGCTTATTCGTAAATCAAGTGATACTTCACTTGATTGCGTGACAGGCGTTCAAAAGGCAAATGACGTCATCAGATTGCCGTAAATGGTTAAGAGATTGAGACTTGTACTGGGAACATTTTCAAATGAAGGGAACGAATTTCTTCAACACCACGAGGCTGTGGGGGTTGCGACCAAGATAGAAAGTGGTTTCTGAACCTCGCCGCAAACTTGGCTATCTCAACTCAAACCTAATGTAAAGGTGGGATAGTCCCTTTAAAGGTAGTGTGCCACCTTTGAAAGATTTCCCATTTTATTTTTCCTAGGATAAGAAGCTTCTGTTTTTACCTAATATCGCAAAAAAAAATCAAAAATGGGCCTGGAATAGTGCCTTTTTCGCCTAAAAGTTTATCGGATTTTCGATATGTATAACAACTGTAGTGGGCTGAACTGCAAACAGGCGTCGGCAACAATCGCGAATGCGGCGCACATGTGACAATAAGCAAAGGTCATTATAGAGTTACGACGTACGGTCCGGGAATGAGTTATCAGCTGTCTAATCGTAGACAACACAATGTCGAGCCTTAAACTGTAAGCCTGTATTGGTATTGTTTCTTTTATTTGGCTGTCGAACATTATTTATGGTTTGAAATATGATTTTATGTAAAATAATTGATATGAAAAAGCCGTCTCTTAAGTTATGACCCCATTTCACCACACGCAAGTGGCAGAAATGACAATGATCAGCTGACGCATTTTTCTTGGCCGAAGTCAGAGCGCGCGGCCCGACGCACCACCACCGCACCACAAAGTATGAGCAGAAGCCGCGCCCAAAGCCAGGGCCCCGGTAACGTGAGGTAGCCGAGTCGGGGCAGCGTGCGCTGACCCAAGCCGGGGTCGCAGCTTTGGGCGCGGTCTACCGCATCCCCGCGGGCAGCCCCGGGCTATCACATGGCACCGGGAGGACGCGCGGCCCCGGCTTGGGTCAGCGCACGCTGCCCCGACTCCGCTACCTCACGTTACCGGGGCCCTGGCTTTGGGCGCGGTCTACCGCACCACCTAACAGGCGTGTTCGAAACCGCAGGAGATGATGATGAACGGGTTTATCGAAACTTGATTGGATGAGCATATCGGTAATAGCGATTTCAGTGTGTGCATTTATTGTTCATAGTGGTGTGAAATGTGGTTGGGGTACGACCGACAACCCGTCGGGGCGAATTTCGCACTGGGGTACTCAAAATTTGAAGAATTTAAGACGTTTCCATGAGTTTTGAAGGTATGGATAAGTTCTAAAAATCCGGTTCTCCTTATCTGGGCCATTAACTCCATACGGTCCAGGAAAGCTGGCACACTACCTTTAAATAGCAATTATCATGACTCAAACCATTTTCTTATTTGTTACCCTTTGAATGGACTCAGAGTGATTCCATGACATGATGATTTGACTCGACTCATGACTCAGCAGCTTCTTTAAAATATATAATCGACTAAGCTCATGACTAAGCCGGCTTCCCAATTTTTTTAATCGATTCAGCTCATGACTCAAGCGGCTTCGCAAGCTGTTGATTCGACTGGACTCTTGATTCAGTCAAAAAGCGTCTGATTCTGAGTCGACTCATGACTCGTTTCTGAGTCGATTCATGATTCGATTCTGAGTCGTACCCATGTCTGCGGTTCACCCTTAGGAAAAAAAAAAACAGGGATTTAATTCTCCTATCTCAAGATCTAGTTAAATGGTTACTGGTCGCAATCCATATGAGCAGACTACTAGCCGGTACGACTGGCGACCTTATCTGGACCACACTGCGGTGTCCGGCCTCCCTGTGGGGCGCCGCATGGCGACCTTACCTGGACCACACTGCGGTGTCCGGCCTCCCTGTGGGGCGCCGCATGGCGACCTTACCTGGACCACACTGCGGTGTCCGGCCTCCCTGTGGGGCGCCGACTGTGGGGCGCCGCATGGCGACCTTACCTGGACCACACTGCGGTGTCCGGCCTCCCGGTGGGGCGCCGACTGTGGGGCGCCGCATGGCGACCTTACCTGGACCACACTGCGGTGTCCGGCCTCCCTGTGGGGCGCCGCATGGCGACCTCACCTGGACCACACTACGGTGTCCGGCCTCCCTGTGGGGCGCCGACTGTGGGGCGCCGCATGGCGACCTTACCTGGACCACACTGCGGTGTCCGGCCTCCCTGTGGGGCGCCGACTGTGGGGCGCCGCATGGCGACCTTACCTGGACCACACTGCGGTGTCCGGCCTCCCTGTGGGGCGCCGACTGTGGGGCGCCGCATGGCGACCTCACCTGAACCACACTGCGGTGTCCGGCCTCCCGGTGGGGCGCCGACTGTGGGGCGCCGCATGGCGACCTTACCTGGACCACACTGCGGTGTCCGGCCTCCCTGTGGGGCGCCGACTGTGGGGCGCCGCATGGCGACCTTACCTGGACCACACTGCGGTGTCCGGCCTCCCTGTGGGGCGCCGCATGGCGACCTTACCTGGACCACACTGCGGTGTCCGGCCTCCCTGTGGGGCGCCGACTGTGGGGCGCCGCATGGCGACCTTACCTGGACCACACTGCGGTGTCCGGCCTCCCTGTGGGGCGCCGCATGGCGACCTTACCTGGACCACACTGCGGTGTCCGGCCTCCCTGTGGGGCGCCGCCGGACTCGGCGCGTCCCACTCGGACGGCTCATCAGGACGGATGCAGGCCATGGCTCCAGCCCCGTCGGCCGCTCCGGTGCCGGGTCGGCCCTGGGGTACAGGTCACAGGCCAGTCGTCAGTAACTGAGTCAGCCACAGTGCGCTGCTGGCGCCGTCAAACAGCAGTGCAACGCCACCGTTTACCGGCGGCCCCTGGCACTCCTGGATTTGCACACCATGCTGGCGATGGGGAATGTTTGAGCCCCCTTCTTATTCGGCTCCTGGTCCACGTAGAAACACGTAGTTGGCGTTGTTCGAAAATGTTTCAAATTGCTTCCGTAATTTTTAGATTAGCCAACAGACAGGTCACCAGAGCTCATCAGAGATCAAATTTTGACCATTTCGCAATTGCTGACATATCGGCAGACGTACTCTGGAACAAAGAGCTTCGCGGAAAAGTGCATTCGATGACTTTTTTAAACCGGTGCCGCCTGGCCTATTTTCTGTATCATGTATTTGCACTGGCCGACTGCAGGCATTGCAGCCCATTTCAGTGACAGCCATAGAGAAAGCTACCAGCACTGACAAAATTTCACGCTTTTTTCGAAAATAAAAAGAAAACCTTACATGTTTTATCAAAAACGTTTGTTTTAACCCTCGCCCGTTTTGGAATTTTGCCAGCCTCGAACGTATAAGGGGGCCCTTGCCGTTTCGCCCCGGATCGAGCTAGAGCTTCGCGGAAAAACGAGCGCGTTGCCCGTGACGAGAGGAAGTCGATGATACCCAATTTTAAGGTCCTTGGTCATTGGTTGACCTTCCAAACAGACTTGCGCCGTGACCAAAAATCAAGATCCAGGATCCTCAAGGTCCCACGCAAATTCAACTTTTAAAATCCAAGGTTTCCAAGGTCCCACGACAAGGTCTGCAGGGTCTTGCAGCATATCAAAATTTTGAGGTCCTGACCCCTGGGTTTCCGAGGTGTCATGGCATATGAAAATGTTGAGATCCTGGGTTTTCAAGGTGTCATGGCATATGAAAAGTTGATGTCTTGGGATTCCAAGGTTTCACGGCATATGGAAATTTTGAGATCCTGGGTTTCCAAGGTCTCAAGAGTCACGACTAAATGACAATGCAAGGTCCTGGATCCATCAAGGTTCCAGACCTTGGATTCTGCGAATCCTAGATCTCGGACCTTTTTGGGATCTTGGCACAAGTTTGGTTTGCTTATGCGTACCGTCCAGTTGTCCCCTTGCACTCGCCGTCCAGATTTTAATTATCGCGAGATTCTGTCAGCGTACAAAGCACATGTCATGTATCTCATGGAATACGCGAGTGTCGTCTGGTCCGGGGCCGTCGCAACTCATCTCAAACGCATGGAGCGCCTTCAACGTGGCTGGGGCGCACAACCCAGCCCCGCTGTCCCCCCCCCCCCCCCCCCCCAATGGATTGTGCATCACTTTTGACCCACTTTAAATGCCAGTCTATCAAAACTCGTTTCATTCAAGCCGACATGAGATTCTTTCAGGCAGTCGTGCAAGGCCGTCTTGATTGTCAAAAGCTGAGAGCCATGTTTTCTCTGGATGTCCCTTCCCCAAGATTCTTACACATAACGTTAGGACCTCAGTCACGTGATCCTTTTCCCAACCCTGCTCCCGATTTTCATAAGACTTGATTTATTTTTTAAACACTTTGCAATGAGGCGTGTATAACTAATTTATGTACCTATAAAAACTAATTAAATGATACTTGAAATTAACAAACACATTTTTACTTACAATCTCAAATAAAAGTTACATTTATCTACTCCCTTTTCATTAATTTAATCAGCTGGCAACCATTACCCATCGTCCTCGATGTAGTCGAACTCGGCGCACTCGGATAGTGTTCACAACACAGGGGAGCACTGCCGCTTCAATCCTTTTGTCCGTAGTGTCTAACGGTGGCGGCCATTTTGCGCAGACCAAGGGTCGGCCGCCGCCTTTGTTGGGGAATAGGGAATTCGGGACCTCGATTTACGTTGTATGTTATTTATTTTTTATTCAATCACCAACAGGGCAACCCCCATTTACAGGTTAAGGGTGCGTTTCACGCGACCTTTACACCACCTGGCGAGGATCTTGCCGACAGAGAGATACGTTTCTAGACCAGTAGATGGCCCTAGCGCTAAACGCCGGTTTGTTGTCGTAGGACAAGTATCACATTTCCCCTGTCCATCCAGCTGTTAGCGGAGAGGCGTCGTTCGACTGCCAGGCCGCCCCTCCCCATCCGCGCCCCGGGAGTTCGGGGAGGGGTGGCACGGCACGGGTGCGCCCCGGGAGTTCGGGGAGGGGTGGCACGGCACGGGTGCGCCCCGGGAGTTCGGGGAGGGGTGGCACGGCACGGGTGCGCCGCGCCGCGCCCGTCAGGCCGGGCGGAAAGGACCAGATGTCATGCTCTCAGTTGAACCACATTGGGCCGAACCCGCGCCGACACACACGGATAGGGAAAGACCGGAAAAATGAAAAAATGAATGAGGCACAGGAAAGCAGCTTCAGTCACATTTATCCTCGCTTGGGGAAATGGGACGTTTTTTGGTCAAACTTGCAAGTTGTTTTGCCGTATAAGCGCCGCGAAACTTGGCATAGCTTATCATACATTAATTTCTCATCGTGTGTGAAATAGTGGAACCCCGGTCTCAGAAGTTTAGATCACCCAGTTCAGGTATATCCTAGATGTTCGACACCCTTGTTATTACGAGCGAGCGAGCGCAGCGAGCGAGCGAGTTCATACTGAATTAACCTTCGCCCCAGTGGGGGGGGGGCATATGTTACCACCCTGTCGCGTTTTTTGCGTGTGAATAAAAAACCGCGGCGCGTAGCGCCGCGCCGCTTGAAGTAGCTTTTGGTACATCAATTTTGGACAATGTGTGAAATTTTTGACCCCAGGTCATGTCAGGTCAGGTCACCAGGTCAAGTTAACTGACCAAGCCTAAAAAAGTTTGCAATCATGCCCATCCTGCAGTGTTTGTCAGAAACCTTTTAAACTTGGTGGATTGCATGCTGTTATGGGTGCCTACAATTTGTATATCTCGGATTTTTTATATCCGTGACCTAAGGTCAGGTCAGTGGCGTGACCTTTCCATTACAAGTCAATGGAGAAAAATGAAAATGCCTCTAGATCCGTGTGTACGCATAGGAACAGTCCAAATATTTCAGAATCACAATGATTTGGACCACCCGTGATGACCTAGGTGTCATTTTTGCTGATAGCCTCTAGAAAGGTCATCCGAGGTCACACACAAAAACAAAAAACACACACACACAAGAACACACACACACCCTAACCCGACTCACACCCTAAATCATGCGGACAATAACAACAACGCCCGATAAAAGATTGTATGAGCTCTTGATGTATTGAATGGTCGGTTTTGCCATGATCAAATAATTAAATATGGTGATGAAATTGACCAATAACATGACAATGAGATGTATTTTTAGATAACAAAACAAGGCCGAAATATAGAACGAGCTTTCGTCTTACATCATCGGGTTCTGGTCTAGCCGAGACAATCACGCAATCACATTTGAAAAATTGAAACGGAACCAAATATTTACACGTGCACATTGGCCCAGATGGCTTTTGGAGGTCATGTAGCGATGCGCATTGCGCAATTGAGGCGTACACTTAACAACACTGATACAAATAAAGGTACAAATATGTAGATACAATATTTAAATAAGAACAGACCGCAGCACGCTCGCCGTCACATTCCACTACACCACACACCACACACATATACCAATATTTATCCATATGTAGTTAGGACTAGGGTTACCCGCGTGCTCCGCAACGCGAAGAAGGGTTATTTTAGACCCGTGGGTATTGGGTTGGTCTGTGTCGATTTGGCTGGTATCCATTTCGTTCGATTGCTTTTCGACGGCCAAGCATTTTGTAATAAAAAAGATGCATCGCATCGAGGTGCCCGTGTCGTATTATCATGCGTTCTACTTTAGAATGATTCGAAAACTGGCGTGAAACCTTTTGAGGGCTATCGATGAATTTCGCTAAAAATGACGATGTAATGATTTCGAATATTTACATTTTTAAGGATACTGTTGCTAATCATGCAAAAATGAAGAGTGAATATTGGACAGAATTGAATGCTCTATCCAATGGTACCATATTCAATTGCCAAAGGTATCAGGTTATGCAGCAAACCCCGTGTGATTAATAAAGTGGCACAAAATTGACAAACACCATTTTCTCCTGTGATTTGCACCACCTTGATTTGGATCAATCAGCTTTTCACAATTTTTATATGAGAGGCGGTACCTTTCTCTTGCAAATAGGCGTTGATTCAACTCGCTCCATTTAACGGTCACCTAAAAATAAAATTAATTCCAAAATCCCTCAAAAACCGCAATTTTTCAAATAAAAGTGCCCTCTCCGGTGCACGTGGCGCGTGCTATCCTCTGCATTGCACACCATTCAATAGCCCGTTCAATTCTGTACACGATGCTGTTTTCCCCGTGCCGGTCGGACCCCTGGTCACCAAGATATTGCACGGGAACTGGACCCGTGTCGGCCAGAATTAGCCGTTTTCGCCCGATTTCGCACGCCGATTTATACATGTTAAGTCTATGACGCGAATTTGCACTTTTTGAGCACGCGCCACGCGCTCCCTATCAATCCGATCGAGCTGAGACCCCTCAAAGGCACGTCGCGCATCCTTGATCTATAAGTTGTGCAAATTTCACCGGGCTAGGTGCAACGATCTGGCCTGTAGTCCACGCAAAGCACCACCAAGTCGGGACCTCGGTAACGGACAGACGCACCCTCCTCAAATAGTAATATAGATTTTAAATGACCTTTTCCTTGATAATTAATTGGAAATTCAATAAAAAGTAAATATTATATTTACTTTTTATTGTAGAGGCCACGTAGAGGCTCACTTTTTATTGAATTTTTATTGAATTTCCAATTAATTATCGAGGAAAAGGTCATTTAAAATCCTAACTACATATATCAAGATGTTCCTCGCTAGAGCACTGCATACTATTTCTTCAATATTTATCCATACAGATGCCCAGCCTGAACACAATGCAAAGCTCGTGGCCTTTAACACACTAGGCTTTAACGTGCGAGCACCCA